GCTAGCTGGAGTTAAGCCATGACATCAGGAGTTCAGCAGTTATATTATTTCCTTTAAGTCATACGAAATTGGTAGACTATAAGCATCGAATCAACAGACTAAGGCTGAACTTTTATTTCTGATGATTTTCAGTTAGACTCTGAAATGAATAATGAGAAATCTCAAGTGCTAATAATTATTCAATATTTTGATTTTAGTGACTTCTGTTTTGACAAGAGAAAGAGTCAATTTGACTTCCCAGTTGTGTCTGCTTGAATTTCAGGTACATTCTCTCATGAGATAAGGTGGGGAAGGTCCAGCTGGAATGCCAAGTGCATATGTGAACAATGATGCATTCAAGGAGAAAAAGAAAACAATGCAAACCTTCATTTGCAGAGTTTCATGTGCTGTTGTGGCTCCTATTCCTGCATGTGAATTAGTGGGAAAGCCACAGTCTTATTGAGGAGCATCAAATGTGTCATGTTCTCTGTGTGCTTCTTTATTTACAGGCACTTTATTTTTTTTTTCAGGATGCAAAAGAGATTGGGATGGTCTGACTTGCTGGCCTAGAGCCACTTTTGGGGAAGTGGTTAAAGTTCCCTGTCCAAGATTTTTTGAAGAAATCACTAATATCCATGGCAAGACTTTTTCCTATTATTTTTATCCCTACATATTTCAATAGATAAATGTCAATAGATAAAATTCAGTAACTCACATATTTTTCTGATTCACAATGTTAGCTGAGTCAGTTGACATGAAGTAGTCATTGAGATACACGTCTTGGATTATGGTCAGTGTTTGTCACTGTTTTGTTTTGTGTTATGCTGTGCTGAATTGTGTAGCCTCTTTGGTGGTCTAAAAAACATGGGCAATTGCACTACATTGCTGACATTATAAAAGAGTATGTCACAGAATCACTGATTTATAAAATCATAAAATAATTGATATTAGAAAGGGTGTTTTGATGTCATCTAGTGAAATCCTCCAGTCATTGCAGGACCAAATTAAAAAATTGTGTTGAACTTCCAGGCTAGATCAGGGGGCTCAGGGCTTTGTCCGCAAACACAGATTACACTGTAAATGCAGGATAGACTGCATAATTCATTTTCCTCTGTGTAAAGATGGAATTTGCAGAAGGAATTTCCTATATGAAAAGTAGAAGTTGCACTGCATCCTGAAATGAATGGGAACATGTGTCTCAACTCTTCAAAAGACAGATATATAGAATATTATAACTATAGTTAATCTTGGTGACCATGACCAGACCTTTCAAAACTTAAAGAACACACCCCTCCCCCTCTCTCTATAATTCATACTCTGATGTATTTTACCATTAAAGGCTTCCTTCAGAGAAACTGTACACAGGAGGCATATTGGTCAGAACCATTCCCACCATACACCGTTGCCTGTGGATTTGATGAAGATTCCAGTAAAGGGCCTGAGGATCAGGTGAGTTTTTCATTTTCTGGTTGTAGACATCTCCAGGGCATCTTCTTCTGAGTGTGCTGAGTAGTTGGATGCTCCCACATACCTGAGCCTTGCCTGAACACAGTAATTACCATTCTTCAGTGCTAAGCTCAAACCTTGTAGGTACATTTAGAGCCTGTTTAACAAATTAGACTTAATATAAAGCAACGGAGTATCAGGTAGAGTACTCTCCATCCATTCGTCTCCTCGTGATGTTAATGAGTAGACTCGTGATTAATTCTCTTGTCCTGCCTAACAAATCCTTTGGTTCTCTGACAGAGGTGATTTGAATCCTCATCACGTACCCATCTGCCAGGGATTCCCTACCAATTTGTCTGGGGAGAATTTTTCAGGGAAAATTCCTTTGGATCCTTTTTGTTGATAGTTTTTCCAGATGTTCCTTGAGTCAGAAAAAAAGATTCCATGACTTTATAGAATGGTGATGAAGGCACATCTTTAGCAGGGAAGCCTTGGATGCCATTGAGTATTTCCACAATTTATCTTAAGCGTTCAGTGGAATAGGAAGTGAATCTCTAAACCTGGAACAGTTCTCCCCGTTCTCCCTGGGGCCAGCTGCCATGGCATGGTTCTCACCCACAGCACTCTTACTCTACAGGGTGGCTTTACTCCAAGAAGTACCTGGCTTGTGCTAAGCCAAGCATCCTTTGTACCTGACCTAGGCTGAAATCAAGCAAGGGTCTATATTTATATTTTAATATTATGGAAAATTTTAGGGCAGAGATCATGTCCGTGCTGCAGTTGTGTTTAGTTTGTTATTCCAGTCAAACCCACAAGGTCTATAAAAGGAAGATAAGATCGGTAAGCTCTACTGCACTGTAAACATAGGAAAGTGAGTAAGAAGAATCCCACTTATATTCTAAACAATCACCTGGTTTGTATTTTGTATCTGCAGTAAAGGCTTATGATGTCTTTTGCATACAGTGTTGCTTTTTTAGCTACCCTTCCAAAAGAGATAAAATGCACCCAAATACTTCATTGTTCAGTTGAAGAACCTGTTTTTTTTAATTTTCTAATTTTGACTTGTGTTTTGAAAATACTATATAAAAAATTAGGACTATTTCAGAAACAGCATGATTCCAAGCAGTTGCACGAGTTATTCACGTATCTACGTAAAATTGCTAATCGGTTGTTTCAACCTAGAATTGCTGTCTTTTGGATAAACAGAATTTGGATCAATTAGAGAACAAAGTGTCCATTGCATTTGCAAGGAGGAAATTTGCCTGGATACAGAGAATTTAGTTTCTTGGGATTTTAAATAATTAGGTGATCTTGTAGTGAATGAGCATAAAATTTGCATAGCTAAAGCCGTGTAAACATGTATAATTTTTCTTAGGACATAGGATGTTTAAATGAAAAACAAACAAACTGCAAAGAATTTACAGTGTTACAGTATATGGCAACTGAATGAATTGTTTGTCCAAAGAATTAAAGACTGTGAAGTTATTTTCTTGGTTTTAACTTTCTTACCTCCACAAGACAACATGACTGTTTCACAGAGTTCCCGTGTCCTCACCTGCAAAATGCAAGTTTTATTTCTCTGTTAGCTATCGTTGTTTATGAAAACCAATACTTACTGAATCTGGCAAAGGTCTGAAGAGACCAATTCACAAACCACCCATCAGCAGGTTCCAGTGCCCTGAAGTCTTTATGTACCTATAGTAGAAAATGCAGTTACTTAACAAATTAATATTTTGAACATGCTCAATCACAGATGAGTCTGTGGTCTGTGAAACTTCTCTCATCTGTAAGGTTAAGTAGGATTCAAGAGGAAAAAACCCATTGTGTTAGCAATGAGGGGAAAAATCAGATCTTAAGCACACAAAGTAGTGCATAGGTTATGGGATGGACTAGTAAGGGAAGATGTATCTTAGTGAAATAAACACACCAATATGCATGCTGCATAACCACCAGCACTGCTCTGTGTTCTCTTTTCCTCATAGAAATCGTTTTATTCTGCATTTTGGCGCGTCTACACTGCTGGCTATGCAGCATCAGTGACTTCACTCATTACAGCTCTAATTGTCTTTGCTGCCTTCAGGTAAAAAAAAGGTCTCTTTTCCAGGATGTCTTAGGACAACCTCACCCTAACTCCTTTCAAACCCTCTGTGTTTTTGTTTTGTGGGATTTATTTTTATTATTATTTTCAAATCTTTCTCAGACATAATTCTGTTCATGGTAATGGGTCCTTCTCTACACATGTTGTAGCATTTCCACGAAGTTGTTTAACCAAAAAAGCTGGCTGGGAAGTTGGACTTAGCCTCTTTAATGACACCGTACAGCAGAAATACTCAAACCTGTTATCACCATTGACATACCTCTTCCTCCAGCGCATAGCAGGACAGACTCTGCAGAAACTGAATGTCCCATGCCCCTAAACCAGCAGTAATTCAAAACTGTCTGTTCCCTTTGTGAAAGACCATTGCTTCCATAACTGGAAGCTGTAGAAAGAGATTTAAATGTCGTGCTTGATGATGTTGGATATTAGGAAATGGATGCTGGTTTTGATCAGTTCCAATGCACTTGGACAGAAGCCTTAAGCTTACTCTGAAGACAGGACTGCAGAGCACAGAACCAGCTTCCTAACTGGAGGGGATTGGCAGTCCCAAAGGTCATATATAGGGACCCAGGATCAAGAGTCTGATATGACCAAACCTCAAAGGAAATTCCTTCAGCTCAAGGTAAAACTGTGGACAGGGTGATCTAGGGAAATAACATCAGTCCTGCAGTGCACTGTCCATGCAGTCTGGGGCAAGGCAGCTACTTCTCTGGACCATAAAGTCCAACACTGCCAAGTCCACCACTAAACCATGTTCCTAAGCCTACATGTCTCTTAAATCCCTCCAGGGATGATGATTCCATCATCTCCCTAGGCAGCCCATTCCAATGATTAATAACCCTTTTGGTGAAGAATTTTTTCCTAATATCCAGCCTAACTTCCCCTGGTAACCAGCTTCCTAACTGGAGGGGATTGGCAGTCCCAAAGGTCATATATAGGGACCCAGGATCAAGAGTCTGATATGACCAAACCTCAAAGGAAATTCCTTCAGCTCAAGGTAAAACTGTGGACAGGGTGATCTAGGGAAATAACATCAGTCCTGCAGTGCACTGTCCATGCAGTCTGGGGCAAGGCAGCTACTTCTCTGGCAGCCACCCCAAAACATGCAACTGGCACCCTTTCAATACTCTCTTCTCCTCTGGCCAGAAAGGGGCTGAAGAGTCTGTTGCAAGCTTGTTGAACAAAAAAATGCTATTTAGAATAATTAAAAGGCATTATTGTAATACAGCCTGAGTTTCAGAGCTGCTGTCTGCTTCTGGCATCTCCTTTAAACGTGTGGTGATTCAAGGGCAATTATATTAGCACTTTTATTAGCTTAAACAGATAATAACAGCTCTGCTCCCTTATGTCTATCTCCCTCTCAAATAGTGACAGATCATTTATTTGCTTTGGAAGGTGTCTGCAGTTGTCGTGTATTCCTGTTTGAATTTTGATGAGACATGTTTCTCTTGAAGAACAATTTTTATTTTCTTTTTCCATGTCAGAAAATTCCACTGTACCCGGAATTACATCCATATGCACCTGTTTGTCTCCTTTATCCTGAGAGCAATTGCTGTTTTCACCAAAGATGCTGTTTTGTTTTCAGATGAAACTATGGACCACTGCCTAATGTCAACGGTACTAAACTTTTCCTCTCTCTTATCTGTGATTTAACATTTAATTATTTACTTGAAGAGAACATGGAGATTTCTTTATCCTATTTCTCTTTAGTTTGCTAGAACTGGAATCTTAAACCAAAAAATAATACACAAACCTAAAGACCAAGTGCTATGGCTACACTCAGCTTTGATCTAAAAGGTCTGTCCACTCTAATGAAGCTGTAACAATTTCTATCAGTAAAGAATTTCATTTGTAGGAGAGGGCCAATGTTTCTCTTTCAAAACACTGAAGTAAAGTCAATTGAAATGATGGATTCCCAAACCTACTGAAACCTTGTAATAATGTTTTCATTATTGTGTGGTAACATTGAATTTTTACCTATAGTTGTAGAGAAACTAGTTACAATGGAGAGTACATCTAATAGTTTTGTGGTTTTTTTTCCTCTGCATTTCCAGGTTGCTTGTAAGGCTGCTGTGGCATTCTTCCAGTTCAGTATTCTAGCCAATTTCTTCTGGCTTCTTATAGAAGGGATATACCTGCAAACACTGCTTTTATTGACCTTTGTTTCAGACAAGCAGTATGTGTGTTGGTTCGTATTTACTGGCTGGGGTTAGTACTCTTTCCTCTTGGTGTTATTTAGCATTTCCATTTGCTTTCAGAGCTAGGGGTGGGTTTTGTTTGTTTCTTTCTTTCTTTCTTTTTTTTACATAAAAGGTGTCTATCAAAGATGCTGCCTTTCTGGTGAAACTTGCCTGATCATCCAGTTCTACTACATCAAAACCATTCCCTTATACTGTCTTCTTTTCTTGTTAGATATTCGTACCATTCAAAACTTTGAAGGAGAGGATAGGATGGATTACTAGAAACATTATGATATGCCTACTCAGAAGACTGCAGCACTCATCTTTGTGATAGAATTAATTTCAAGCAACAACAGTAATTTAATAGTTAGCCATCTAATCTAAACTATCTTTCCAGGTTTATCCTGCAGTCAGTAGAGTGAGGTATGCATGCTGTGGCGGTGATTAATCCAGTCCTCAAGAAGATGAATAATTTTGGGTTGGAACTAGATGATCTTTAAGGTCCCTTCCAACCCAAACCATTCTATGATTCTATGAATAATGTGGCTGGATAATATCCTGGAAACATGTTGCTTTCCTCCACTGACAGAAGAATTTTGGGTGACTAACTTTAAGTTGATAGTTTGCTTTCAGTAAGCAAAATTAGATAGATCAATCTTAAATCCTGTGAGTTCAGGCCTAGGAATCAAATAATTCTACTTTTTCTCAGAGACCTTCTGACTTTAAGGGATTAAAATTGTTTCTGATTGTCAGAATATGTGCGTGTAATACATAAAATTTCTTTCAGTGTAGAGAATTGAATATAGTGACTCTCAGATATTGTTGTACTTTACCTTGGCTATTTTAAAATAGAGACACCCAAATTGAATGATCACATCGACATTTTTGGCTTAGGAGTGAAATACAAATTCTCCTGAATTAAATAGTAATTCATTCTTCATCTTCAGATTCTCAGATATTTTTAATAAAAATTAATTTTAAAAGTCTGTACTTTATAAAGAGGATGTTGATTTGGAGCTATTCCAATTATGTTTGCCTGAAACTAGATACCTAGAACTTGCTTAATCACAGCTAACTAGACACAACAAATGAAACACCTCAGTTAATAATGTAGTAATCCTCATCTTCTCTAATCAATGGTAAATGAGAGACATCTTATGAGAAATTCAGATCTTAGGCGATATGGATGTAAATATTTCTCTTAATTAATTAAAAAGACAACTTGAACTGAATATGGTCTGAGCTTAAAGGCCTTGAACAAAGGTCAACTTCCGGGCCTTCCCTACAGGTCTCAAATGATACTTAGAAAGATATTGCTTATATTTCTAAGGATTTATCAGTGAAAATGTCACCTGCTCCAGATTAGAGTCCCTTTTATGGCAGTTTTGAAAATCACTTAGTCTTTCCAGAAGGAGACCAAAAGCAATTGATAGTTTATAGGTCTGTTTAAAAAACAAAACAAAAAAAAAAGAACTATTAAGACATAAATGTAGAAGGATAAACAGTGACAAAGTGAGGCTGCAAAACACCAGTTCCTTGATTTAGCTAAATTTTCATGGAAAGTTCATCAATTGATAGCTCTTGTAGACAAAAATGTGAACTTTTCCAGCTGGCATATGAAGAATTGTATGCTGGACAAAATTCACAAGATAAAAGAACTCTAGCTAAATAAGTGATTCTCCCAGCTTCACAAGTGCTCATAATTCATATCCTAACCTTCAAGTAATTCTTAGATGTTATTTTTGAAAACATAGATTCACAGCATCCCCTATTCTCCTTTGTTTTGATTTCATTTACCTGCCTTTTTTGGTCTCCTATTTTTTCTTTCCCTGAACTGAAAGTTAAGTTCTTTCATCAAGTTGTTTAAAATTGTCTGGCCCATTGTCTGATCTTTAATGTTCATCCAATCTGCTGCACTGTAAACCTTCTTGTAATAAAATTTCCATGGAACATCATATTCAAAAGAATTATGTTGTGTGCTATATTGATTTTTCCAGGAGCTCCCACTGCTGTGATGTTTGCTTGGGTCCTCACAAGACTCCATCGACAAAACACTGGGTAAGTCAGAGTCTGGGTAAGGAAATCAAGAATTTCTTATTTTGCCCTGTGTTTTGATTTGCTGACAGGGAAAAAATAAAGATTAAAAACACATCCAAAAAAAAAAAATCTGTTTTAAAGTTGTGCCTCTAATCTTTAAAATTCTTATGCAAATATGTGATAAAATAATTTTTAGTTTTCCAATTTTGATGGACTAATAAAAACTCAAAATAATATAGTAAGTACTGAAATTTCATTTATATTCCATTAGAAATCTAAACCCAGCTCTTGATACAATTATATTTTAAGAAAATCACTGTTTTTGCCTAAAATTTGCCCTACATTTACTCTAGTGTCTTCAAATAAGCACTTCCCAAACAAACACATTGCTATGTCCCGATAAATAATTTCTTCTTTAATTTCCAATCACTTATTTGATTATTTTTTTAATTTTACTTTTTTATTTTTATCTTTTAATATGGGAGCCAGGCATAAAGCAGGTGATTGTTTACTAAGAGCTCCCCTGAAGGCCTTCAAGTCATTTCACGTGAATGACAGATATTTTACACCTGCCTGCTCAGGACTCGGATTAATGATGTAGAAGCAGTAAATTCTATGGTCCACCACATTTGGCATATTCTATTTTGCTTTTTTCTTCTTCCAGGAAGAGGGAACATGATATATGTATGGCACTTGAATGGAGGGAGCTAAAACTGGAGTGTTTTTTATGTTTAATACACATACAGCCTCAAAACCAGGACCAAAAGCCCACTCTGTTGTCTCCCTTCAGGATACCTTTACAAGGGGTCTGGATGTTTCTTTCCTGCTTTCCTCATGACCTCAAAGTCATTACATTTGTGGATGCATTGTGTAGCCTCTGATTTGTACCCTGTAAACCGGTCACTTTTTCAACAAAAGAGCAGGAAAGAAGCTTGGAAATATAAATTTACTTTTCTTGACTTAATTTCTTCCACCTTCACCTCTTACTGAATAAATTTACTTTAGATTGGGCTGCACAAAATCTTTCAGGGAGGTGTCAGTACTGGCAGAGGCCTTTAAATTATGTTTTAAAACTTAATGTCCATCCCTGCCTATTCTGTGACAAAAATGTTTTCATATATTGTGATAATCTCACATAGGATAGGTACCATGACTAGTTTTGTTTTGTGTTTCAGATGTTGGGATGATGATGAAAATGGAGTGATGTTATGGATCATCAAAGGCCCCATTGTGCTAACTGTAGTAGTATGTGTTTTCATTTTGTCTTAAGTATCTTTTGAAATGTGAAATCTAAGAAAGTACCTCTTTTCAGGAAGCTGGGAGGAAAGCAATAACACATGTTATGGTATTGAATTTGAAATAGCTGGAAATTATTGTTTAGCATGTGGTTTCACAGTAATTTTTGCTGGTTTTGTTGTGTCTTTTTCCTCTCAAAATACCCTAAATCACAGACTAAAGGGTAAATCCTATATTTTCTAGAGTCATGCTAGAACATAATGAAATCACCTTCACCCCCATTCTACATACTACAGTTGTATCGGTGTCTCTGTAAGTCATTTCTGAAAGCAATTCATACTCACAAGATTCTTAAAATATGAAGCTTGTTTAATACAAGAAAATAGCTCATTTTTATCAGCTGAAGATATGTCCTGATTTGTAGTAAGCTTACAGATTCTGTCTTGCCTTTTCAGATTAACTTCATTATATTTATTAATGTGATCAGAATCCTAGTCCATAAATTGAAATCTCAGGAGGGAGGAGGGAGCCATTCAAGCCACTTTGTGTAAGTATTTCTGGGGCACTTGATGTTGACCCGTTCTAGCTGCTATAAGAGATGTTTTATGGACTGGAGCACAAAATACTCTACTCCTTACTAAATAGAAAGAGAACTCCCCAAAAGAAATCAAAGTATAAACTTTCCTTTTCATCCCAAATATCATATTTCTACTCCTTCATGGGGGAGGAGGGTGAGGTGGATGTTTGGGCACAGTAAGAAAAGTACAATATGAAATATTACAACTCCAACAGGACCCAGCTTGAAACTGTAAACACTAAATGTCAGGTAATACACCCATATTGTCCTTCCCACACAAATGACCACATAAAGAAAGATGCAGATAATTTATTTTAAGTTCTTAGCAGTTACATGGTGCTGATGTTCTGCTAACTGAACCTAGTCCTTCCTGTTTATGATCCCCTGCACAATCAGTGAGGAACTCATCAATGCAGTAAGAGGATTCTAGTGAGCTCTTTGACTGAAGATATGGAGGTAAGGCCGTTAGTTATGGCACAGGACCTAGCATAAACCTGTGACCTTCTGGAGTGAGCTGAAGGCCAAGTGGAATACCCTACGACGTCATCAATGGCTCTGACACCACTGTTGTTGCTTAAAACAACTGAATCAAGATCTTTAGACAGTGATGATTAGATCTCGGCTGACAGTTTTGGAAGTTGAGACACTTATATGGGGGGTCACCCACATGTGATTGAGATTAGTCTCAGGAGGAGTAGATAAAAGTACTTAGTTTTGTGCCCTGTTTTTTCACATATAGCAGGGAAAAGAAATCTTAAAAATCAGTCCAGAAAACTTGTATGCTGATTTGTTCATCTTTGTTCACGAGGTTTGATGGTGGGACTGGTGGAAAGTAGTCGTTCCAGAACTTCGTTGGATGTAGTTGCCCCTGTTGTAGAGCTGTCCTCTGAATTAAAACTTGTTCCAACATATAATTGCTATCACTAATTCCATATTTCTAACAGTGCATTGTTCTTTAATTCTTGGTTTGCCAGGAGACTTGCTAAATCCACATTACTCTTGATCCCCCTCTTTGGAGTGCACTACATTGTATTTGCATTTTTCCCAGAAAGCACTGGGCTGGAAGTTCGCCTTTATATTGAGTTGGGCTTGGGTTCTTTTCAGGTAAGCTGGATGAAGTGTTTATCAGTCCTAAGAGTTTTGGGCTGAAACAACCCACTCTCAGGAGTTTTACATTTTAGGTTCGTTATTAGAGCAGATGTTAATAATGTGTCTAAATTCAATACACACTTTCCATCTTACTCCTTCACAACCCCTTTCTGTTGTTTGTTCCCTTAACTTGTTTTTTTTAAATCTCACACTACTTTTGAGTTCTAATTCAGACTTTATATTAATAATCACACACAACGTCGTGCCCCCCCCCCCCAATAAAAAACCCCAATATCTACTTTATTGAATAACAATGACTGAGTACCAGAAAGATCACTCTATGGATTAAGGTGAACTGATTAAAACTACTTCCACATATAATAAAGGTGATGATAAGAGGATTGAAAAAGTAAGGGTAATGTATAACAACCTGTTCTGTCTTTACCCTTTATCAGTAATGAATCTATCATGTTAATACTTCTGCAATTTTTATTTTGTTATACCACTGTTCAGAACCATATTTTGGATTTGAGAGGGCCAGGATCCTGGGGATGGTACACATTGTAATAAACAGCTGAGATCTTTTTCCTTCCCCTTTCCCTTGTATCCCACAACAGCTTGAACACATTTATATGTGCTGAAAATGATCCCTCTCCCATACTTAGATCTCATCCATGGCCAGACTGTATTTAGGAAAATATGTATTTTTGTGCTCTTGCTGAAAGTTTGAATGAAACTTGATGTCTTTCTCTGATTCTATGCTTTAAATCTTGAAGGTTGATCATTTTCTCCCTACCCTCTCTGTCCTAGGGTTTTGTTGTCGCTTTTCTATATTGTTTTTCAAATGCAGAGGTGAGTAGCAAGTACGTAAGATTATCAAAACCTTTCAAACTCATGGGCCTGTCTTGTTTTTCATTTTCTCTTTCCTATTTCCAGAACAGATCTATGTTTTGATCTGCTTCTGAATCCATGAAATCCCGATGTCTTTTTGTTTCCCTCGGTACCTTTGTTGACTTTATTTGTATTCATACAGTTCTGACAGAAAGGCACAAAATAAGCTTTGAAGTAATGACCCTTTACAAATGGTTGGAGACTTTCTTGTCAGGGGACTTTTTTTCTGCTTTATATCTGATACCTATCATGATGATGTCTTAATGGAAAGCTTGTAACACTCATTACTTTTTGAGGGTTTATTTTCACCTAGAGAGTTTCTTCCCTTTCCCCTTTCCCTTTCTCTTTTTCAGGGCAGCCTGTGCATTTTCAGTAGTTTTGTTCAGACACTTTATTTCCTAATTTTGTAAGATTGTTTGAATTTGGATAGATTCCCTGTAGTACATTTTAGAGAGCTTATAATTTTTAAACCCAACTACATTTGCTTACACTTTCCCCAAAAGAGCAGAATAAAACAAAAGCCTTGAGAAAATGTAAAAATACATCTCATCCTCAGAAAAGTGTGCAGGTTAGATGAGAAGAGTGACCCACTAACGGTGCCTCAGTCTCCCCACTAGCCTAGACTGGACAATTCTCATACATGTTGGTAAATGTAGGTGCAATTAATCCTACCCGAGGATGAATGATGCCTTAAATACATTTATAACTTATGAAAACATTTTATAATGGCCATTCTAGTGTTGTTCTGAGAGGGTGCCTTGAGCATTAACTGTAAATACAGAATGCTCTGCTTCCCACCTGCCTTCTGTCTGCATAGATTCCTTGCCAACAGCCTTGAAACAGCTTGCATATTGTATCTCCCAACACATAAATGTACTAGGTGTTAAAAAAAGGTCAGGCAGAGACTGATCTCTAGCACCAAGATTAAGTAGTGTGGGTTGGCTTGTGTCCACGCTTCTTAGGGATAACTGCTTCTGGAGCAGATTGGCTGCTCATTACAATTTGGCAGTGGAACCTTCCTGCATCTATTATGGTTCCCTGCTATCCTAAAAAAAATTAATATTTTCTGTGTGTGTGTTTCTTCTGTTTTAAGTACCTGCAACAATGTGAGAGATTGTGCTGCTGCCAAGCAGGATGATATCTGTACGGGATGAAACTGAGAGCCTGTATTTTATGTCTTTTTTTCTTTTGAATAAATTACACAGGATTGTTGAAGCCTTGAGCTTACTGAGATAACACTGGAATAACACTGAGATAACACTGGAATATTGGATTGGTGGAGGAACCCCCCTTTTATTTACTAGGGTCTTAAAACTATAACACTTAAATCTATGACAGTGTTATAGTTTTAAGTGTTATAGATCTCCAGTACTAATGACAGCCATAGAAGGGCGGCAGTTATGTGGTTAGAAACAGTTATGTGGTTAGAAACAACCTGGCAGGCAGAAGGGAGGAATA